CGGATCTCTGTGAGTTCGAGGCCAGCCTGGGCTACCAAGTGAGCTCCAGGAAAGGCGCAAAGCTACACAGAGAAACCCTGTCTCGAAAAAAAAACCAAAAAAAAAAAAAAAAAAACTGAAATATAGGTTCAATTATAATCAAAGTAAATTTTCTCCGCAATTTGTTTGTACTACTTTAAAACTTAAGGTGGGGGGGGGAGGGGGGGCAAAGGCATAACAGTTTAACATCTACTCAAGGAATAACACAGCTAGGAAACCTTCCCATTCCTTAAGTTCCCGGGATTTGATAGTTTTCTGCTTTTAAAGTCAATTAGAAATCAATGAAACCTGGTAGCAAAAAAGCTCAGGATTCATGCAGCAGGTGCTTTGAATATTTAAATTCAAGCCCTCTACATTTTTTCTTGACAGCAAACGTATTTGAGATTAAAAGTCAAAATAGCAGAAAGTGAGTGATTTGTTTTCAACTCTATCTTTTCAGTTATTCACAGCTTAGCATATGGATCGCATTCCAGTTCTTCAGCTCCTAACGTGCTTTCAAAAGGCAAATTCTTAGGGAAGTTGAATTCATCAAAGTCTGCCCTTTAATTAATAAACATTCTATCAGGTCAGGACCAATTATATATAGTATTTTCATCAGATCAGAAATGGTACAAGTCAATACGCTACTAAATGCTTTGAAAAATTCTTAATGGCCTTCTAAGCTGCCTGTGATTCAACAGAAAACCTCTGTGAAATCCTGATAAACTTGCTAAATTAACAAAATAAAAGCTTCCTCATCAGGCAATAAAAATATTAAGGTAGTTGTTGGTAAACTGGAATAATCTCACATTCTTGTTTTTTTCAAGTTCATACACCATCATGGCTCAGACTTGGCAACACTCTGTGCAGCATCTCAGTCCTAGGCAGATTTGGCTGATATTGGCAATGACTAATAAAAAGATGCGCTGTAACCAGAAACAGAGAGAGCTCCGTCTATTCTTGCTGATGTGTTCGGCAAAGCCTGTGCCAAGAAATTATTCCACTTCATCAATAAACCCACTGGCCAAATCAATTAAGAAATGATACTGGCGCACCTACTCCGGAGCTTCTCGGCCTTGCAAAGCTGATGCAAATGAAAAGAAATACACTAGTCATTACATGTATCAGAACCTCCGTTTATGTAATCTAATTGCATTAAACACCCTGCATAAAGGTCTGTGGTTCTTCAGCCTTTTCTGGAAATGCCTAGCCATTTCACATCTCAGTATCTCCAAGAATGAAGAAACCCTTTTCCTTAAGACGCAAGGCACCAAACCATCACTTGTTTGCTCAGTTTCGTTTGTCCCTACCCCAAAATCGTACTTACTAAGACATCAAAGGAATTCTTCTGGTCCAGAGCGCCTTTGTCTCCCTTTTCCTATCGCCCCCCTGGATTCCGCGCGGACCCCTAAGAGCCATCCATTCATACACAAAATCAGTCACCATCCTTCCTGGGTACCCAACACAGGCAGTTAGGTGAATACCTACCAATTCGTCTGGGCCCGGGACACACACACATTCTCCTGTCATCACAACACGGAGCCGACAACATCCACAAACCGCGCGGACAGCAGCAGCGACAGCAGCAGCGGCCCATTGAAAGCAAGGCAGAGATGCTCATTAGAGGAGGCGGTGGCGGGGAGGCGGGAGCGGAGGAGGGGCGAGGTCTCGCAGCAGCCCAGTGAATGGGCTGGGAGGGAGGAGAGCGCGGAGGGGGGAGAAAGGGGAGGGGAGAAGAGGAAACCAAACAAACCCACCCTGCCGGCGGGGCGGCACCACAGCCCTAGGCGGGGGACTCCGGGAGCGCGGACAGGCGCGGCGCGGCCGCTCCATGCCGCCGGCGCGCCGAG